CAGCAGGAGGGTTGGACTAGATGACCCACAGAGGTCCCTTCCAACCCCTACCATTCTGTGATTCTGTGAAATCAGAGTACCCTACAGAGTTACCTACTCGGAGTTACCCCAACAGCAGCCATATAGTAACTAAAGATCAAGATTACCAACTTTAAAAATTAAAAAATATGATTGCATTTCAAAAAGGGATGAAGAAGATCAGCTATGCTACAGATCCTACAGAAGTTCTTTGTGGGTTTGTTGTTTGTTGGGGTTTTCTTTTTTAGCTCCTCACACTGTTTCATTTTGTACAATACTCCTCAGAGAACTACAATTGCTGCTCCTTTATTTGTACAGGAACACACACTGGTTTGCTGGACTAGGACACAGTCCTGAACACAGGACTAGCTTTGCTCCATCCAGCAGAGTATGGGGAAAAGGTTGTTTTCCTGAAAACTGTTTCTCCAGGAACCAGAACCTACAATGTATAAATAGTTTCCCGCAAGCAGTGAACTTTCTCAAGCTTTTAATTCCTGTAACGTTATGAATCATGAGGACCTTGATCAATTTTGGCCTACTGTTTTTCATTTCTTTGTAGACTAAAGGTTCTGAGTGTCAAAAAACCAAAGCATGGAAACTGGGACTTCCCAAGTGTCTCCAGAAGAGTGTATCCTTTCCAACTTCACTGCATCCTTAGTATAAACATGGAGAATTTGCACCCCTGTCTCTGAAGTTCTCTCTCACAAAGCTGTGGTACCTAAGGAATTAGAGGAGTTTTACCCGTAAGGCTGGACTGACATGCATACTTCAAAGTAATACTTACTTCAGTTGTCTGTTTAGTTCTTCAACATAATTCTTTTGGTCCAAAATTGCAGCAATCTGTAAATTTCTAAAGCAAACACATAATAAAATTAGCATAATGATGTAGTGAACTATGTACTGAAAATACACTTATCGATCATATGCAAATATCCACCTTTACTGCGCTTTTTTAAAAAAATGGAAGCAACTTCATCTCACAATCATGAAGTCAATAATTTACATGTTGTGACATCAGTGAGACAAAAAACCCCAATGCTTTTACTGTAAATAATTTCTCTACAGGAAACATAAGAACATACACAGTCTCAAAAGAAAAAGGATGTTTATATACTCTGCCATATTTCTGGTTCTTTGAAATACTGACTAAATCCCAAGCTGAGGACTTAAAGGTTAGCAGGTTCTTTTTCACGGCTGCCTTGCAACACTCCAATACTGTCCATCAGATAAAGGAAGTAGGTGATGTTACTGAATCTGGCTTCAAAGTGCAAGTATTCATCCAGCTAACTAGTAATACAGAACAATGTAGCATAAATTTTTTCCCAACACTGCGAGATCAGTAAACTTCATCTTTGGGAAACCTGACTTCATTCTACAAAGAATAGGTCACCAGTCAAAAAATAATTTGTTAACATGCAAAATCTGAGGTATTTGATGAGGACATACCTTTCCTTACCCCCAATGTCATCATCACTCTTTAAATACATAGAGAAATCGATCACCCCGACCTAGGGGAAAGCAAAGGTACACAGTTTCATATCATACAAGTAACTGCTGTTGATGTGGACAGTCTTGTGGCTACAGAATTACTAAAACCTCAGTTACATCAGCTTTTTTAAGATTGGTCCAGTTCCAGCCAGAAGCTCAAAAAACTGAACTGTAACATTTTACATAAGATTCTTTTTTCTTTTTTTTGAAGTGTAGCCTCACGTATTTGTTAAGAATAATGTTATCTTTGAACAAAATTAACAACATGCCAGGTACCAAATCCCAAAGAAAAGATGTCTTCTCACCTCTGACTGAGCTTAGCCAAGAACTCACAGGAAGACTTTATTTTGGGGAATTATCAGATTCTACTCAACCCTATCACTGACTGAGCAGACTTGTGATAATTTGTCTGTAGTGTTTGACATTATTTCCTATCACAGAGTATGTCCCAAACTGATGTTTCCCCCATGTTTAGCTTTTCAATGTGCCTTGCTAAATAATGCTACCTCTCCACACTTGCTGCTTACCAGGTGTGCCAACTCAACTGCGTTCATTTTTAAACCTTCTAAATCTGAATCTAATTATTTTCTATTCAATTGTAATTTAGTTATATATACTATAAATAACATTACCATGAGTTCTGTTTCCAACTCTATTCACGAACCTCTAACAAAAGTATTTAACCACGTTTGCTTTACCACAACTCTTCCTTTCTGGTCTCTAGAAGCCTCTTCACAAAAGTGGTTCAATTTCTCTGATCTGCTGTTTCCTTCTTGAGCTCCCTTTAGCTTTTGAATACAAGTAACTTGCCAAGTCTAACACTTCCTTGGTTTGCACAACGCTCTCCCATCAGTTTCCTATGATGGTCTTCTAATTGTTCTTTCCATATCTCTTCTAAAGTCTCTCCTCCAAAAGCTTTTCTAAAAACATATTTTGCTTATTTAAGCAAAATACTCTCTCTATGAAAAAAGTAAAATGTTATCTCTATAAAAGCTACTTTCATTCTCCCTGTGTGCATACACACATTTCACCATTGAATAGCGTTCTTCTAACACACCAAAACTATGCTCCCAGATGTGATTTCCATCATCCGTCAGAAGTTTCTCTTTGTGCTCAATACAACTTGCTGCTTCTGGCTTCTCTGAGAAGGTCCCTTATTTACACTACTCCTCACAAACAGAATTACTCTAAAATCTCATCTGGACAGCCACAACTACCTTTTCAAATCAAGTTTTATGTCCGCTCATACAGCAGAGCCATCAAGTGACCTCAGTAACAAATGTGTAGCTAGTAATAGATTTTGTGATTTATCATACACACATATAATTCTCAATACTAAGAAGAGCACATTGATAAGTTTTGTATAACTACAGATTTTTCAATATTACATCCTCTGGTGTGCAAGATCAGTGCCTATAACATTACATAGTAACTAGAACGAACAATCGAAGACAACTTAATCCTATGATTCCCATTCTTTGCCATAGAAATTGCTTTTTCATAAAATAGATGCTGAAATGCAATAATTACTTAAATTATTAAGATTTTTTCCACAAAAAAGCTGGACAAAACCAGTCGGGACTGAACACAGCCTACGCTTATTTAAAAACACTTGCGCATCTGCCTTTAAAAAGAATCCGTAAGATTTTCTTTGAAAAGATCAGAGTTCAAGGTCAAAGCACTTTGCATAGGAGGAAGAACTCTAAGTCTTGTTTAGCAGACTGAAAACAGTCACTCTCTTACAAGGTCTTTTATTACATTACGTGTAGCAAGTTTTTGTTTCAGGCCCTTAAGACTCCTATTCTGTTTCAGAACTACAATAAATGAACAAAATGGGATAAAGTGATCATGGAACTACACTTCTCCCGCGAAGGAGAAGGACGAGTTACACAATTAAGACGGAAAGAACTCTGCATTGCTACTACTGCATCTACTGCATCCGTCTGATGACAAAGCATAAAAGTTTACCCTTGCACTCTGACCATTATCACCATCTAAAGGTCTGACACAACTGACACTGAGGTTAATGCAACAGCCCCCACTGATCCAGGAGCTGGATCAGGCCCTAAACAGTCTCACGTGAGATTTCTAACAAGTCACAACTGCATAGCAACAAAATCCACCGTACATAAAAATGTTATGGATTGCATGTACATTACTTTACCTGTATTGACTTACTTGTGAATCTAGGTCTTCTCCCTTCACACACAGGTTAGCATCTATCACATTTAACCCAACTAATAGCCCAACAATAACTGCTCCTTCTTCCTCCATCATTAGTGCATGATACTCATAAAATTCACTGTTAAGGAAGAAAATTGCACATTACTGGTATATTCAGTATATTTACACCCAATAAATTACTAATAACTGACATTAAATCTGAATTGTTTCTCTTATTTTAGCCTTACTGCAACACACTTAAAGATTAACTGGGTCTGCCCATACTTCCACCTCATAAATATTTAAAAATTGAAAGCGTATGGTTTGTCTCAGAGGTTATTACAAACAAAGATACCACCTTCGGCTCCAGAAGTCTGAGCCACGAGCTGCTGGAGGGCTGGGAAATCTGGGAGGCAAGACTCATTCACTTGCTATTAGCCACTTTTGACTAGAATACTGCAACAGATGGATGTTTGGCCATGTTGACTGAGACAATTCTTATGCTATTCAGAAACACTACAGAATGCAAAAGAATAACAGTAAAAAATTTGTGTTGTGTGAAAAAAGGCCTGGACTTAAATGAGTAAGAGAAGAGAAACTGAAAGGGCTGAAATGCTAAAAAGGTTTTTAAAAGAAAAACACTTAACAACAGCATACCAAACATTTACTTCCTCCTCCTTGCATTTTTTAAATAAAGTTTTAGACTCCATGAAACAAACAGCGCTTTCAGTGGAAAAGTCCAGAGCTGTTGAACACCAGTGTCAAGGGTGAACCCAACACAAGGGTTTTTTCCCTTTGTACTTCAACTACCCCGTCCAGAAGGAGAAGTTATACTGGCAGAGAGCAATGCCAGTTTTAGAACTGTGAAAGGAAAGTTCAAGGCAATCGTCCTCCATGCAACAGTAGCTCAGTAGGAAACCATGCATACGGTAGGGGTGAAATTCATCTCTTCTCCAGAAGTTGCTAGTCCATATGCTGCATGGTGGAGGAACGCATCAGGAGCCCTTCCTCATCACCCACATCTATGAAAGAAGAGTCAGGCACAGTGCAGAGGGGTCCCCCCTACATGATGGGGAGGAAACATTACCCGTCAGCTGGCCCTCAATCTTGATGAGGCAGCAGTGTTTGGTCCCTCAACCCCAAGGATGGGAAAAAAATCAGCCTGCAAACCAGAAGCTACACCTTGCTACACTAAGGACACATTCAAAAGTAGCAAATAGAAAATAATGATTTTTTTTTTCAGGAGCCTAAACCTCTAAAAATAAATTATAAACAAAATTTACTTAATTGTTTACCTGAGAAGATCTCTTTGAATGATCAGACAGCGAAGATAGTCTGCCATTTTCTTCTGCATCAGTGCTAACCGCAACCAGGCCCTTGCACGGCCCAGTGGTGTTCTGAAAAAAAAAGGCATGAACAGTCCCAAATCAACAATGTATCAATTAAATCACTGTCTTAAACATCTAACCAGTCCATTGGTACAGCAATTGGTATTTCTGAAAGGGTACTTTAAACTATTAGTTGAGCAATGCAGTCTGGGAAGCCAGGCTTTGGGATAGTATCAGAAAAATCTTCATAAACTCAGCTGGGCTTGGGAGCAGACCCTGGAAAGTACACAAACACAGAAAGCACAAAAGCCTGACAGTAAAATTAACTGTTTTGTTCAGAGAGTGAAAACATGCAAGTTTCTACACACTGCTGTATTTCAGTGTGCTTTGTTTTCACATAGTACATGGCTAGCACCATGGAAAGAATTTTTAAGAATGGTGCTGTTTTCCTGTAGAAGTAGTACCACTTTCTTAACCTGACAGTGCCTATAAAGCTAATCTTGAAAGTCCTGTTTCTAGCTGAAGTAAAATGCCTCCAACAACTCAGACTCCTTTCTGCAAGTTGTTTACAAAGTCTTCAAAAGAACTGTGAGAAAAGTAACCAAATGTCCATTACAATTCGTCATGCAAGCTTGCCTTCCCAATCCTACACAACATGTACTGAAATCTAGCTTGACGTCATACTTGTTTACAAATTCAGTGGTATCTTAGAAAGACAATTCAAAAAAGATGAAAGTGTATGTAACTGGCAAACATTAATATCCAACTAAATTAAACCTGGACCTTAGATTCTCTTCTTCTAGCGCTCGCATACTTAGAAGTGGTAAGCACATAAATGCAACAAAACCACAAAAACCTCAGATCCTATGTCAGGATAGGAACAATGTAACACACTTGGCAAAGGGTATTATTTCATCTGGCCTGATACTAGAGTAATAATTTATACACCTATGTGCTTTAGATAAGGTCTAAAGCTATAAATTATAACCCTTATGCTGCCATATACCAATCACAGTGTAACCAAACCCTTCTGGAATTTAATGTACGGCCAATTATAAAGCTAAATGCAAAAGCAGAGTGCAGAGGAATAGGAGGAGACTGTAGTTCACAGCACAAATTTACATTTGCAAAGGACTTTACACACAAGAATCTGAAAAGCTCCCTAATACTTTCCTCTTTAGTACGTTACCTTTTGTTTTTATACAGCCTTGTGGACTAGACTCCATGTTTGCTGCAGTTCTAGGCTGCAGATCATTTGATACACAACCCATTCCTTTTTGCACCATTTTTGTCCACCATTCAGAAAACTCTTCCCCCAGGAACATCAGAAAACAACATTAAAAACCTACTTTTTTAGCTGTTTTGTTCAGAATATGAAAAGCTAGCAGGATTCACCAGTGCTCTCCCCCAATATTATGTGCTAGCTGTTCAAAGGCTTGATTAATGCCAAATGAAATCATGAGACATCTGTAGATTCTCAATCAGGTCCTTCATTTTCTTGCTGCATTTTACCCATACAACTTACTTAAGGCCAGGCAAATCTCTGACACTTGCTGCTATTTCCTCAGCTTCTGGATACAATTTCTCCACAAGTTCCAGAGGACCCCAGATGGTTTTATTGTAGCTTAGAAAGGATTTTCTTACTAGGAAAAGAAAAATCAAGTAACTGAATTAATTTAAATTACTGCAGTAGCTTCCTTCAAAATAGCTGGTGTGATGAAAGGGTTAACAGCTGAGCCTAGATTTCCAGATAACAGATAATTTTGACACTGGTCAGCTGACCAATATCCAAAGCCATGTTATGAATCCCTTTGCCATGAACATAAAATTGCTGTGCTAGGATAAAATAATATACAAAGGATGACTAGGTAAAAATACAAGTTAGCTACATACTTGCAGTTGTGGTAATCCCTGTACCACTTACAACAAATGGTATACAAAAGAAAAAGTTGGCAAATATGGAAATACATGTTGTGAAGTATTAATAATGACACTATTAAATGTAGCAGGTAACAACTTACAAGTTTTCTTCACTTCTTAAAGCAACATAACACACTGTGATTTTATTTTGTTCAGGAAAGAAAGAAAGGAAGAAAAATGGCACGTTTGGGATGAGAAACGAAGCTAGAGAAACTTCCACACCTTTAAGGCCATGCTTCAGGCAGTGCTCCATGACAACAAAGAACTGCTGCAAAGGAGGGTAGTCGGAATCCAGAGTGCGGCCAAAGCTCAAAGCGGATTCAATGAGTCCTTTGATACTCAGTTTAGCCATGTTCAGTAAATTTGCTCTTTCTACGGCTGTAGGGTCCTTTACAGCTAAGACAATACAGAAAAAAAAAAGTTATGGTTCACGTTTTAGAAGAGACACAAAATAGTAAGATGTTTTACGGCCACTTCGTTCAAAGAAAAACTTACCGTAATCTAGATAAAACTCAAAGGAATAATCTAGTAAGTGCTATAAACCATCATGTTATAAAAAAACATTGACTGCAACAAACACCCTTACAGACTGTTTCCAGAGGCAGATGAAAAAACAAGGCCGGAAATGCCAGTTCTCAGGCACTGTGTTGTCTCAGCACATCTCCGAAGCAGTCACTAACTGCAAATTAACACAGGCTCAAAAGCCCTGCTGCAAAGCAGCAATGAGGGCCCTTACCATGATATCAAAGCAGCACTCCTGCTAATGTAGGCATCTATTTAGTGTATTATAGCCTAACTACAGAAACAGACATCATGTTTCCTATGTATAATCACTTTCTGCTGTAGTCTTAATTTCAGACTGCCATAAACACAGGCTTTCCTTCTTAGGCTGTGCATAGTGTCAGCCAGTAAACCTGGAGCAGTTTCAGGAAAATATTACGTATTACATACTGAAATTTCAGTTTCTCACACAGCTAAAAAGTATTATCTACACAGGACAGTTTAAGAACTAAAGGTTTTGCTGTAGCTTAATCATGTTTTTGGTAAACTTTACAAAATGTACACTACAAAAATACACCTGGGGATTAAATCTAGTCAGTAAAAAACCCACAGCGTTTTAAAATCATCTTAATCTGACAGAATGGACAAGGTTCCTCCTCTTAGAGCTCCAGCTACTGAAACCAGAGTGTTCAGGAGATTCCTAGTTTATTTTTCTATGTAATGAAGCAGTTCAAACATTCAGACCACCCTCTATTTTGCCAAACTGAAATAGAGACAAAACAAACCTCTGTTTATTCACCAGCATCAAAATAACTTGTAAACAAGGAAAAAAAGTTCATGGTTTACAGTTTTCTGCAATTAAATCTAACAAGTGAAGTAACAAACAAATGAACACAGATGTTCTTTTTTAAGACACTGAGACACAGATGTAAAAATATCTCTACAGATTTGTGTCTGAGAAGAAATGTGAGCCCCTTTCGTTGCAAATTTGAGTACTAGTATATGACTTTATCTCTTTGCACATCATAGCATAGAGAACTGCATACATCAAACCAAAACAACCCCAAATCATTATAACAGATGGACACTTCCTCAGTTCCACAAACAGCAATGAAGTGACTTGTCTCATTTCTTGCATACCACAGCTTTAGGTATTCAGGTACTAGAAACTGAGAAAATGACTTTCTAATTTTCTGTACACCTAACTGCCTGTCAAACAGCAAATTGCCCTATTACCACACAATATGATGTATCTCAGTTTTCTAGAAAAAAAACAAAAAGACTGAGATGACATACCCGAGATAACCTTAAAAACTACTTCTATAGTCTCTCAATTTACCGGTACATCAACAGAAAACACTAGAAGATGTTAGAAGACAATTAAGGACAGTGCTCTGGCAAAAATTTACCCAGCTAGCAGTCACAGCTCACTAGTTTGTCTCTTGACTTCGTGCCCGCTCAGCCGCTGGGGCCTGACCCAACCCTACCAAGAGCAGCATCCATCCATACTCCTGCCTGGAACAGATGGCGGCTTGCAACAACAGGAGCGTTTCTGTTGGTAAAAGCTCATGCCAGACTACCTGCTTTTCTATTAGGTTTGCTATTAACCGTTCTAAGTATGAATGCTGTTGTAGAAAAAGCCTTGCTCGATTCAGACATCAGGCGGATAGCTCTCCCTCCATACACATCCAGTCCATTTCCCTCAAAGGCACCTTACAAATTCCTTTTTCAGGCGACCTCATTTTGACTTCTGGAGCCGATCCTCCCCGCAGAGAGACTTCTGCATCTGCTGCGACTTTAACCGTCTGCCTTCTCACCTGGTCTTTCTGAGGCAGAAACACATTTTTACTACATCTGTTTTAAAGCACAGTCTGCCTGCATGTAGCTATCTTTCTTCAAGATAGCTATAAAAAAAGACCAGGATTTAGAATTTCACGTGGCATGCTTTCTACTAACCGCTGCTCAGGGATTGTGGGGCTTGACCGTACATACACAGCAAAACGAGCTATGAAGGGCTCTTCCCACCCCACAGCGGCAACGCCCGCGGGGACTACGTGCAGGCGGCCCAGATGTCACCAGCCCCCCCCAAGTCTGACTAGCTCCTCTCCTGCTCCGGACGAGCAGCCAAAGCCCTGGCGCGAACAGTATGCGTGCAAAAACACCCCCGAGCGCGCAGTT